GTGCAAAGATGGAAGGATCCACAAATACCTACAGTGGAAGAATGGATCATTAAATTAATGGGCTTGGCTCAAATGGCAAAGTTAACAGCATTAATAAGAGATAATATTGTTTCTAAATTTGTCTCCTCGTGGCAACCCTTCTTAGATTATGTGCTTGTGTGGGAAAAAATAAAGCTCTGACTGTGGGATTTAATGATTAGATGGTTTGTGCTGATAGAAATAATGTAAATTTGGATTAATTAGTGGTAAGAGATTAACTTTTTTTAAAAAAATTGTACTTATATCTGTATTGGAGATAGTCGGAAATCATTTTCTGTTTCATCTTTCTATCTACTTTCACTATTTTAGTTTTTGTCTTTTTTCTTTTAGTTCTTTCTTTTTTCTCTGCTATACTTTCTGATTTGTATTTTAACTGTGCTTTTTATAGATCACAATAAAAGTTTTAATAAAAAAAATCACATTGTGGTAGCAACTATTATTTTTAACCTGTTTTTCTTTTACCTTGGCCTTGTGTAAAATCCCCCACCCCAACCCCCACCACTGCCCCAGTAAAGCTATGGGTACCTATGCAAGAAAGAGATACAGGTAGAGATAGAAATGATTTTTCTCTATTCTTTTTTTACAAATAACCAGTTTGGATTAGAATGCTTTAAAACAGAGAAAGCAGAGAAAGGCAAAGAGAGATTCACACCCTAACCCTATCTGAAATTATTACTGATCACGAATTATCTGCTTTATACTGTGCTTTGTCCTGACTTCATTATTATTCTGATATATATGAAAATACAATACACTCTATTTGTGAATTGCTTACATATAAGCAAGGGTGTATAAAGTAGAGCCCGAAAGCTTTATTTCCCATCCCTTTATTTCCCAGTTGCAGATGAACCTTTAATTTGAAACTAGGGACAAAATTAAACATATAGGGATTGACTTATTGATTAAATTAACATTACATGCCATCTGGACACTGAAACAACAACTGGAGGAAACTTAAATGTTAAACATTAATTTGTTGTTGTTGTTGTTGTTGTTGTTTAGTCATTAAGTCGTGTCCGACTCTCCGTGACCCCATGAACCATATTGCGCCAGGCCTTCCTGTCCTTCACTGCCTCCCTGAGTTTGCTCAGTTTCATGCTCATTGAGACTTCATTCTCAGCCACCCCTGTTCTCATACTTCTGTTCTATTATTTCATGACTTTCACTATTAATGAAAAAATAATAATAATAATTTTTGTACAAGTTGATTCCAGAAGGTAAAACACTGCCAGTCAGGCATAAACAGTGATTTGCAGTGGGGTTGATAAACAGTTTTTTTGCTGCTAGATCTAATTTAAATCCCCATCATTAATAATCTTATTTCTCCATACCCTCTCTATATTCGCAAACCACTCTGGCTTCTACCACATCAGTACACCAATTCATATCAATTCATACAATTCAGTTCCTTTTGGTCTTCAATCTTCTAACCTCTCTCATTTTGAGATTCTCATAAACCCCCAAAACAATTTGCTCCATCTTTTCCTTGCTCTCAACTGATTCCTCCTCTCTTCATGTATTGGCTTTGAATATATGGCTTTCAATCTTCGTTCATTCTCTCTGTGTGACTGAATCACCTCAATGTATGTGTGTTGTATTCATCGCTCACTTTTATATTCAGCCCACATTCATTCAGCAACTTTTCATTCTTGAATTTATCTCTTCTTGTTTTACCACACATACTAATTAAGCCATTTCATTGAATTCAACTTACTTTCATGTTTCTCTGTCATACCCAACTCTCATTTCCAAATAAAAACTAAGTAGAAGCAAGCTCTTATACATAGTCATTTTGACATCTTTCAACATTTGTTCTCTTAATAGAGCACATTTTACCAACTTTCTATAAGCATTTATACCTCTCAGAATCTTTTTCCCATATCTGGTAAACAGTTTACCAAAGATCACAAATTTATCTCCTTATTCTAATTTTAGCTTGCAGTGATTCACTCAAATTTCCCTATCAAAATAACTATCCTGATTTTTGATATCTTAATTTTCTGATTCATATTCCTCATTATATCAAACTAACATTCACTGCAAATCATTTGAGTTTTCAGACGAAGACACAGCATTGTCTGTATACAAAAGTACTTGTACATTCATGTACCCAACCAACACACCTCTAATATCATCATAATCATTCCTTATACATTTACTGGTTAGTATATTAAGCAAATAAGATGACATCACACAGACCCGACCTTGAGTATTGTGTCCAGTAGGATCAGACAAACTGGAACAGGCTCAGAGAAAAGCAAATATAAAAGTATTGGGGAACTAGTAACTAAATTCTGTGAGGATAGATTGAGGGTACTATATATTTTTAGCTTTGATAATAAGTCAGGAGGGGAAATACAGCAGAATCTTTAAGTGTCTGAAAGGCTGTGAATAAAGTGAACAAGAATTCTGTATCATTCCAAAAGGTCAGGCATGGAATAATGGATTTCAAACACAGGAAGGCAGAATCTGGTTGAATATTAGGAAAAAATTCCTAACGGTAACAGCAATGACAATGAGGCTTATTTCTCAGAAGCAGTGGACTCCTTTTTATTAGGTGTACATTGTCATGTATGACACAAATTTCTATTCTGCCTTTTAGGATATTCATCATTCTAATTTTACGTATAATACAAATGATAAGCACTTTTAGAAGATGATGAGCTATAAAACTTCAAGCCATATCAATTAAGATTATAAATTCACAATGCAATAAAAGTATTCAAAAAGACAACTTGAATTAAGGCCTTTCTAAAAGCTAATGAAGAGCCAACCATGTATATTTATCTACACCAGAAAAATTAAACATGTACAATTGCAGAGAATCATGTATATTTGCCTGTACAGAAGAGTCTAACAGGGAAAAAAAGGACAGGAGATATCTTTAATTTAATTATTTAATTCTGTGATGAATTAAAATGAGACTTTAAATGGTACAATGTATGATTAGTTGACCTGTCACTTCACTTTCTCTAATAACTTTCATTGTAAATTATTATATTTCTAATTCAGCCAGTAACAAGTTCACCTCCTTCCTTTCTGTTTATGAATAGATTTGTGAATTACTTAAAAAAAAAAAAACTCACCCAATCAAAATTCCTACAAAAAGAAAAACTTACCCACTGTTGATGTCATCAGCTCGGAGGCTCTTCCCAAGAATGTCCCCATCACTCATGTATCCTCCAACATCAACATCAGAGGAAATGTCCAGGTCACTATTTCCTTTTTCACCCATGCCAATTTGGGGGATGTTCCCAAGACGAGAGATGGCTGCACGACGAAGAGGTGTGGTGTACATGAATCGAGAAGGGTCAGTATGGATGAAGCGACTAGCACCACTGCGAGGGTACCCTCCACCCAGGGAAGGAGCATCACCTGCCTGGAGTCGAGGACTAGCTTGTCCAAGCCTCCAGGTCACTGGAGAAGATCGGCTTGTCAAGCCAGGGATGCTTCGCCCATTCACTTCAGTTGTCACTGTACTGTCAAATGTTGTCTCCAGTGTGCTGTCAAGCAAAACAGAAATTGATGAACCGTGTTTGCCATATTTCTGAGCATATGGGATTAAGGGTAGACAGAGTAAAGTTCTACTTTGAAATAAAAATGACTTAGGAAAAAACAGCATCTGTTTTGAAAGATGTCATTCTAAGGCAGACATTTTTTGCAACAAGCCAATTTCCTTTCTCAGGTCTTCCATATGTTTAGTCATTGTGGGATTTGAGTTAAAACCATGATACTATGTAAGATTTAAATAAAATAAAATAAAATAAAATAAAAATAAATAAAATGAACCTCTTTAATGGAAAATGAAACCTGTTAAATGTTCAGTCGCTGACATGCAGTGCCAACTGTAATTACAGTAGCACTTAACATGATGCTGGTAGAGATATAAAGTACTGTAAAATAGAATGGAGTTTTTCAAAACAAGGTTCTTCCTTGCTTATATTGTAAAATGTAATGAATCACTAATACATAGCTAGAATTAATGTCAGTTATGTTATGATGGCAAGATGAGAATATAAGGTAGACATGTTTCCCATTTGTTTCAGTAAATACATTCTACATAAAGATAGCACAACATTCTTAGCAGAATTACAACTAACTACAGTGTCACCTCTGCTGGGTCATTACCATCAATAAATAACATTCATTTGACTGATCTGCTTTCTTCATCCCCAAACAGTCTCAAATTTGAATTCTATTCTTCTCTGTAACGTCATCTGCCTATCTGCCTTCCCATATTACCTAGGGCCTGTTAACTTTGGAAGAGACATTCTCTCACACACAGCACTCTGAAACCTCACTTTCCACAAGGGAGATCCTTATTTTACATACCCTCCTCTTTTTCCCCCTTATGTTTATTCCTGCAGATATGCCAGATATACCATGGATGTGGTCATAGGGTACACAATATGTCCTATGATGGGTTGATGTCATAGGTCTTAGGGCAGTAACTTATCACAGAGACTAACATTCAAACAGTGCCGAAATCATGGTAATAGTGTATAGCTATTAAGTTCTTTTAGTTAAGTATTTTAAAGACTAAATATAATTAATCCAAATTTGGATATAGTGCTAAAGTTTTATGCTCAAAACAAGAGGAAATATTTCTGGTGTCCTCACAGTTTAACATTAGATCCAAACAAGGACATCAAGATTGGTTTCATATATTGTGTTAAATCTGTTTCTTTTACTCCAGGTGGTCCATTACAAGTCGCACACAATGGTTTACCAATCATAGGAGGAACCGCCTTGCCCCGGTCATTTCAGCCCGCCCCACTCAGAGGGAGTCAAAATAAATGAGAACTC